GCACCCAGCCCCAGTTCTCATTCCTTCCAAACGCAGGCCAGACATCTCCAGGAGCAGCTGGGAAAGGCTCTGATCCATGCCACCTCCCACCAGGGATGGAGACCCTGGAGACACTTCAGTGAGGAGAGCAGCAGGGCTGGGGCATGTTTTCATCCAAGGTCATTGCACAAGAGAGGAGGACAGTCCCAAAAGACCCGGCACTGGCTCAGAGCAGAGTCACAAGGAGCAAACTGAGATCATCATTTCATCAACCAAGTGACACCTTTGGGCATCCAGATGGGTCATTACTCAGTGACTGATATCTCCCATAATCTACATCACCTCAGGAAAAGCTGTTCATCTCTCCACCCTGAAAATCCTACAGATGGACTGGCCCCTTTATCAGCAAGCAAAAAAGAGTCAGGACTCAATTTAAAAGCTGCAAGAACCAGCATGGTGAAAACAGGCAACACACATAGGTGGTCAGTCCCAGCTGAAGAGCCAGGAGAACCCACTCACAAGCCACCCCAGGTCTGACCCTACATCCAGCTGGCCAGGGAAGCCAGGCAGACCTAAGGAGATCTCCCCTTTCAGGAGTTCCCACTTGTTTCCTAAGAGGCTGTCCTCAGTTTAATCAGTAACTGAACAAGTGGGATGAAATCCCGGCTCAGCTAAGGCTGAATTACTGACATCTGTGACAGCAGGATTCCCCTCCCAGCTCCACCAGCTTTCTCATCTGAGTCACACAAGAAGCTACCAACCAGCCCCACTTGACCTGTTCCCAGTAGACTGGGCTCCAGCACCTTTCCAGAGCATGCCCTGGCCTCCTTCAAGAGGGCAAAGGACCTCCAGCCCCTCTCCTATGGCTCTGCTCCAGCTCACAACGCAGCTGATGAAGTGAGCAGCAAGCGTAGATCTCAGCCAGGACATCTCTGAACACCACACTGGAGGAGCTGCTGGACATCCAGGAGGCATTTCAAGAGAGCAAAGCAAGGCTGCTCTGATAACAATGAGGTTCAAGCACACACAGAGGCTCTTGCAGAGCTTTGCAAACCACCCCCTCAGTAGTCTGCGTCCACCTGCCTTCCTAGGACCATCCTTTCCCATCCTCCACGAGCAGAAAGAGATGCAGGACAGTCACACAGGCCAATATCAACATTCCAGGAAAAGGGAAAAACACAGACTCGGAGAAATAAAAACAATTTTGCCTAACACCAAGAAGAAATGCCACTCCCCCCAAGTAAGGGCATCCAAAAGACAGCTCAGCAAAACCTTACCCACCTAAGACTGGCTGATTTCTCCTCCAGAAGCTGCATTCAGGAAAGGAGAGGTGGTCACAGCCAGGGCTGGAGGCTGCATAAGGATGCAAAGGCTGACCTATCAAAAAGGGGCATCTAGGAAGATCAAATACCAACACACACACAACAAACAAAAAAACCCTACAAACAAAAAAAAAAAAGAGAGAAGCGGTACGTGAATACTGGAGCAGCATCAGGGTGCTGTGAAATTGTGATAGGGTCAAAGAAACCCAAGCAGCCACACCTGATCCATCAGACTTTTTAGGAAGAGAAAAGCCCTCCCAACCTCACTGCAATTGGGCTGGCACAGCCGAGTGTTAAAAGCCACTCCAAATGCGATCTTGATTAGCTCATCTGCTGCAGGCTGCATTTGAAGGGAGCTGTGGCTAATCTTATTTTGATTGCCTTAAAATTCAGTTATGGGGAAAAGCCTGGCATGTGAGCAGATATATTAATCATTCTGGAGCAGCCTCGTCTCCTAAGCTGATGTTTGATTAAAAGGGAGCACAACCAACAGGCACTTCAAAAAGCTGGTGCTATTTTTGACCGCCTCATTCAGAGCAGTTCCTGATACTCCAATGTGCCTACAGGTCCCTTTGGGACCTATACTTGCATTTTTCTTGTATATTGTGAATATTTCTTTATCATTGTTCACATTTTAAGGATGCGTGAGTAAACAGAGAAAAGGGATTCGCTTCCTCGTGAGGGGCTAAGATTAAAAGCCAAAATGTTTTATATAAATACATAAGTGGTAAATTCAGCTTCTGAAGGTTTCGGGCTCAATTTCCAAGAGCTCCACAGCCTTAAGGGCATCTCTACCCTATATAGTTGGGAAATGGTGTTTAGGTAACTGCAAAGCAGACTCAGCAAGGCAGCTTTAGGCAAAAATTCAGAAAACATTGTCTAGAGGAAAGGAGGGATTTTTTCCTTCTAATTCATTATAATCTTTTTTTGCATATATTTTTAATAATCATCTGAAAAGCCATTTTGTAGCACAATGGTTTTCACTTGGGTAATTGTGAAGTGAGTGGAAAAATGCTTTCTGAGCTGAGAACAAGAGGAACCATTAAACATCAAGCTCCTGTCCTAAATTTACGTTTAAAGCAGCTGGAGAAGCAAAGGACCAAACTCTGCTCCCATTATCACCCAGATGGCCAGCCTGGAGATGGCATCCTCTGCAGGGGGACACAAATGGTAGTCCATGTCTCTGCATCAATGAGGCTCTGTGAGGACAAAACCTGGCTGCTGGTCATGTCTGGTGGCTAAAACTAAGCTGTGCCCCCTTTTTCCCAATTCCTTCCTGCCCCTGGAGAAAAGGGTCTCTGGAGGGACAGAGCTCCAGCCTTGAGGTTGTACACTGTTTGAAGGTACAGGAATCTCAAAAAAAAGCATAACCACTTCTTGTCCATCCTTCTGTGCAAACGCCCTCACAGAAGTTTCCTTAATTTAGGTGTAATCCATTTTTTCCTCTGTAACATTTTCTTGGAATGCAGAAAGAACAATAGCTAGCCCCAAATCAGCAGAAAACCCCAGAGTTTCTGGGCTCATGAGTTACTCCAGAGCAGCGTGGGTTTCTTCTGCCTGCAGCATCCCTGCTCAAGCCCAGAGCCCCAAGTCCTCATGGTCACGTCGCAATCAGAGGAAAGGACATGGTGTCCACTTCGTTTCTGCTCCGGTGACACTCCACCCCATACAGGCACAGAGAGACCGGGTAATTTTGGGACCACGATGAGGAAGGTGCTGCCTCGAATGTTCCCCAGAGCAAGATGCAAAAAGATTACTACTTGGTCCACAAAAATGTGGTGGCAGGAACGGCCTTATCAGCCCAGCAGCATGCTCGTGTGTAGTTAATCCCTATTTAAAGATGGGAAAGGTTAAAGCATCCACCCCTGAAGATGGTAGGTCTCTGGGAGCTGGAAAATAGCACTTCAGGACTGTTGGAGCAATGGGACACATTTTACTACCTTGCTTACTTTTCTAAATGGCTGGTTTTATACCAAAGATGGATGAGCAGCATTTCCTCCCCACAGGGAGAGTGGGAAAGGATTCTCTTCCACAAAGCCCCCTTCCCCCCCCAAGAAGCTTCCTAGAATTTTGTTTTCTGGGGGATTTCTACATCCCATAGAATTTCTGTGGAGGAAGCTGAGGAGATGCACCCCATAACCCTCCCCACGGACACCCAGTCCCTTTCCCATATCAAAAAAACCCCAACCCCAGTCACAGCTAGACCATCACTCACTGGAGAATCAACAGCCACCTACAAAACCCCATGTTCTGGAGAGCACACATGGGTTGTGAGACCCCCACCCCAAAAACACCCAACCCACAAATGAAAAGTCAAAGCCTACCCACTATCAGGGTCAAATTCCCTCCAAATGGTGAAAGCAACACACATACAAGAAGCAGCTGCCAGGATGAATCACAGAAAGGAGGCAGAAGTCAGCATTAAGGTTTTGTTCTTTTTTTCTTTTTTTATTATAAAAAAAACTATTCGGAAGAAGTCCAAATGCAACAGAATATAACTGGCACCATCTAAGATACCCAAGTGTAAAATCCTGGAACGTTTGAACCCCCCAGCATGAGCTGGGAGGTGCCAGGGCTGGCCGGGAGGGATGGGTGGCCTCTCCCTTCTCCTAGCCCCCATCACAGCTGGATGGTGGGCAGCCCCAGAGCCAGGACACAACAGTGACATCAACGGTCTCTGTAAAACCATTTAGTTTTAGAAACTAAGAACATTATGAAAAAAAAAAAAATCACCTAAAACATATTTTTTTTTTCCTTTATCAAAAGCCCTGCTTTAGTGACATGCTAGCCCTGCTGGAAAGGTAAAACACCACCCACAGCTCTGTCCAGAACGCAGTTAAGTTGACCGGTCAACTCCTAGCTCAGGACAGGTTCCTCCTGGTGATCTACACGCTCGTGAGCACGTCGCAGCTGCTCGAGTTACAGCGATACATGTTTCTGCAGGTTTCCCAGGTTTGGGAACCGCTTCCTGCAAACTCCACGCTGAAACAACTCTCATCTGAGTCTCCTCCATCAAGCCCTCCAAAGCTCACCCTCAGTCCCACCTGGAGGCCCTTCAACAGCATCCTCAGGAGCTCTGCCTGCTCTAGCCGGGTGAGTCATTGGAACGTCATCTCTTTTTAAAAAAAAAAAAAACACTTTCATATTTTTTTTGTTGTTTTTATATTTAAATAGAAAAATACTACTTCACTCTGTGTTATGAGCCAGAGACCAGTTGACTTCTAGTGACAGAACCGAGAGTTCTCCTCAACGCTCCTACACTGAGCTCAATGCCAGAAGATTCCCAGAAACCTCAGAGTGGCTAGAGGGTGAAGTTCTCCCCACCACACCATACAGGCAGGAGCACGTGGGGCTCCATCGCATCTCCCGTCTTCCCTTCTCCGCAGAAGGGCGCCAACCTTAGAAAACCATTAGCCTGCAGAGAGCCAGCAGTGGGGCTCACACCCCCCCAAATCTGACTCTTGGGGGAGTCAGCTATAATTTTAAGCTTTCCACTCTCCTACTCACTTTTTGTGTGTGTAGTCTGTCCCTGGAAGCCACTGGATCCCATCAGATGTACACATGAATTAGACAAAAAAATAAAACAGTGGTTAAAAGTTCTCTAACCCCCTCTCCTTCTCTTGTCTTCTGAAGAGTCAATGACAAACAGACACTGATAAAACTAAATTTGCCCTCCTCCCCACCTCAAGACAACAAGAGTTACTGAGACACAAAATGTGTTATCTTGTACCCTTGGGATTACATCTAGAAGGGAAGTTTAGGGGTGCGGGAAGTGCGGGGGGAAGGCGGTGTTTGTGGGCGCAGTCTGCTTAGTTCTTGTACTCAAAAGGCTCGTCTCCAGTTTCGTTGAGGAGACACGTGCGGACGAGGGCCTCTGTCACAGCATAAGGATCACAGTTGGCGGAGGGCCGGCGGTCCTCGAAGTAGCCCTTCTTCTCATGGCCCACGTTCCTGGGGATGCGGATGCTGGCGCCGCGGTTGGCCACGCCAGCGGAGAACTCGTGGATGTTGGATGTCTCGTGGAAACCCGTCAGGCGCCTGGCATTGTCCAGCCCCCCTTTGGGGTCGTAGGCACGGATGTGGTACTGGTGACGCTTGCTCAGCTTCTCGATGGCCTCTTCAATGTGCCTGCAAAGGGAGCGAGGAAGAGGGGAAGGCACAGTCAGTGCCTGATGGACGGTACAAGCTGAGCCACTCTTGACTGTTGCATCCAAGCCACAGCAGGTTCATCGCTGTCCCCAAGACACTTCATCATGAAGCCTATGCCCTACACCCCATTTTTCTGACCATCTCAACACAGGGCTCCTCTCCTACTTTGGTTCTTGCGAAAGGATCCCCATAGCCTGAGAAGGTCCCTCAGGAGTGCTGCGTGTGGGACACCACCAGTCTGACCCATGGCCAAATCCCACAGACACATTGCCCTGAGGAACCTGGGGTTGGTTCATTATCTCAGGGCATCACTAAGATTAAGGCAAGAAAACGCAGCCGCCAGGAGGAATCCCTTCCTAGAGCTCCACTGCAACCCAGTGCTGTAAGGTCCCTGCCTGCACTCCGCACATCAGGCCCACAAGGGAACGAGCGTTTTAACGTTTCCAGGATCTTGTTTAAGAAAACACAGCGTTACCTTCCACGGCCTGGCCTACACAGAAGCAAATGGTCTTTCTCCTTCATCGTGGTTATTAAAAAAACAAACAAACAAACCAACCAACCAAAAACCCACAGGCTGGACAGCCTGTTAAGAATAGCTGCATCTTGGCCACCCATGCTTCCATCAACACTGATGGAGCTGTACTGCTGGCTGAATTTACCACCTAACACCAAGATGAGAGCATATCATTATACAAAATACCAAAAAAAAGAAAAAATCCAGAAGAAAGGCTCAAACATAACGCCAAGCACCAGAGTGACATCTCCCACGGGGGCAAAAGCTCTGCAAAAAGCTCACGGCTACCAAGTCCAGCCCGCTGCCTAGCAAAAGGATGCTATAAGCCCATCTAAAAAAAAAAAAAAAAAAAAACTTACTTGAGACCTCCATCTTCCCTCATGTTCTTGGTACTGAAGTTGGTGTGACAGCCAGCACCGTTCCAGTTCCCAGGGATGGGTTTGGGATCAAAGGACACAATGACACCGAAGTCTTCACACACCCGATGGAGGATGAAGCGTGCAATCCAGAGGTGATCGCCCATCTCAATCCCTTCGCATGGTCCCACCTGGAACTCCCACTACAAGAAGGAGGAGACGCTGGCTCAGTGGTGCAGAGACACTCGCAGTGAGACACTTCCCACACGTTTATGCTCTGATTGTTGATAAAACTACATGGCTCAGAGCCAAAAAGCTCCCCCTGCCTGGGATTTTTCTGTACCATCTCATTCCACAAGGCACCTAAAACAATTTACCTGGGCTGGCATCACTTCTGCATTGGTTCCTCCAATTTTCACACCAGCATAAAGGCACGCTCGGTAATGGGCCTCCACAATGTCTCTGCCATAGGCTTTGTCTGCCCCTACGCCGCAGTAGTACGGACCTGCAACAGCACAGGCAAACAGCAAGGGGAACATGAGTTTCCAGAAAGCAAAAAAAGGCTCAAACTCAGTGAAGACAGAACACAAAGAAGGAAGAACTCTCCAAAGGCATGTGATGTGTGGAAAAAGCCCCAAAATCCATTTTGCACGGAAGCATTAGCAAAGCAGATGGACAGCAAGTTCCTCTGATAGTCTGGGCTTGCAATCTGTCACGCTGGGCAAGAGTTTAAGTCACCTGCAGACTAATAAACCAAGCAGCAAATTTGGGTGCGGCCAATCACCATCTTAACCTTTCTGTAACGACCTTAATTTCATGGGATAGTTTTTGCTAATATCCTGCTTGCTACTGTCCACCTTCAGTTCTAGGAAGACCTCGAATCTTTCGGCTCGCCTGAAGCACTTAAGATTACAGTTCAAACGCTCCTGAGTTGGTCCAGTGCAGACTCCCAAAAGATTACCTTGGGGTCCAGGGAAGCCGTTGGAAGGCCAGCCAAATGGATGTCCGTCCGTCCCCAGAAGAGTGTACTCTTGCTCCATCCCAAACCAAGGGTGCTGGTTGGACACCATATCCATAATCCGCCTGCAGGTGTGTCGGAGATTTGTCTCTAGAACAGAAAAGCAACATGAGACTTTTTAGCATCTCCACCTCCCATTCCCCATTTCCACTTTATTTACAGTTTGAGTCCCAGCAGCATTGGTGAAGAATGCCAGGACCAGCCCCTTCTTCCCCACCAGCACTTTGTTTGCCTTTTACTTTTGGGGCAGGGATTATTTTTTGTGTCATCCATGATGCTAAGGGTATGAACAGCATTCGGATAGGTCTCCCTTTCCCTTCCCCAGAAACACCGCCTTCGCCAGGAGAAGGTCCATTCACCTGCAGACTGGCGGTTGTATTTGAAGACCTCGCAGAGAACTAGTTTATTGGGATCCTTGCGAAAAGGGTCCCGAAACATGGCAGCAGGTCGCAGGTACATGTCGCTGTTGGAGCCTTCGGCCTGGAAGGTGCTGGAGCCGTCAAAATTCCACTCAGGGAGATCTGGAGTGGAGAGAGGAACAAGCTACAGTGACCCAGGGTCCCTGGTCCGCAGGAAAATGGGCTCCCTGCCACCCTCCAGCATTACAGAGGTGAAGATGCTTATAGAGAACAGGCCTGCAATAGGTTTGATCCCAGCTCAGCTGATTTTGTTCCAAATGGGGGAAGCAAAAAAGACAACAACAACAAAAAGCCCAACCACCACAAGAAACCAAAACAACCACCACCAAAACAAGCAAAAAACAGGGGAGTGCAACTCCCCAGCCACCCTGGGAAACACAAGGAGCTGGGCTGCTGGCCAAACTCAAGTAAGCCGAGCAGCACCGAGGATGTTTCCCACGTCGCAACAACCACGGGGATGAGCAGAGCACCCGGTCTCCCTGCAGAGGTGGCGGGGCAAGCTGGGAGAGGGCAGCGCACGGAACACCTTCAAGCTGTAGGAACAAGGGGAGCCACAAAATACCCTTATCCACATTGCATGGCCTGGAGAAGGTGGGAAAGTAAATCACGTATAGGTGGAGTCTCATAAGGAGGAGGAATATGGCTGGCATGGCCCCCTCGCCCACCCCTCCTGGCTGTGCGCTGCCCTCAAGGCACAGCGGGAGCAGGGAGAACTCCACCCGGGCAATGTTATCTCCTCCATATCCTGGGGGAGGAGTGGGAGGATGGGAAGCACAAAGATTTCAAAGGAGCTGTGCCAACCACTCCCTTAGAGGGGAAAAGGGGAAAGGAAAGGGAAAAAAAAAAAAAAAAAGGAAAAAAAAGAAGAAAAAAAAGAGAATTCTGCTCAGTCACACACAGTATTTTCATTTCATAACTGTCTCCAGCCAGCACCATGGCAACCTGGGGAAAATCCTAATGCTATTATTGTGTAAGCTGGGACTGTTTGTTCTGAGGGACACAAGCTCTTAATTACACCGGATAGCTCCATTCTTTCCCCTCTACTTTCTTCTGCCAAACTACTTCCGGCCAAAAGGAGTACTTGAGAGTCAATGGGCCACCGAGCCCCTGCCAACAGCCCCCAGCACCCTCTGCCAACAGCCCCCAGCCCCCTCTGCAGCGGGGCCGGTGCCAGGGACCAGCTCCCAGCCCCGGGCATCTCACCGAAACTCCACATCTGGAGAACTGGAAACATTCCCCTGGGGTATCTGGGGCAGGAGGTAACTGCAAGGGGGGGATGGAGCAACATCTCCCCTAAATACCATCCTTCTGCCATGAAAAGAGAGAAATGGCATCCTGTCTCCGGAGCAGCCAAACACAGATGTTTTCTCCACCCAGCAAGGGGCTGCAAATCCTGCACCTGCCCTCTCACCTTCCAGGCTCTTGGGCTCATGGTCCAGCGTGCGGGTTTTGCAACGGAGGTGCTCTCCCGTCCCATCGATCCAGATGTACATGGCTTGGACCTTCTCCCCCTGCGGCAGCTTCATGTACATGTGCTTGATGGCTTTGCTCAGGTGGGAGCTCGCCGAGGTGGCCATGGCTGCAGACCGGACGAGGGGGTTCCTGCAGGGAGGATACAAAAAACCAACCCCAACCGTGAGCCCTTCCCTGCGCTCCCAGATTTTTCATTCCCCAGCCAGGGAGGAGCACGGGACAGCTTGGCCACAGGGCTGGCCGCCGTCCCCAGCAGTCCCATGCCGTTCTGCAGGCAGAAAACACAGCAGCTCAGGCAGACGCAAGCAGCTAGGAAAGCCCTGCTCCAGACGCGATGCCTTCAAAGTATCCCGTTAAATACCCAAACTCCTGCCCGTGTCCTGTCAATAACCTAGGTCACATCCACCAAGTGACAGCCTTCAAAAGTTCTCCTCAGCCCTCTGAACTTTTCACCTCCACGCTCACCACCGCTCTGGAGCAATAACGCACAAGGAAAGCTTAGCTGGGGCTTTCTTAATATACTTGCTTCAGCAAGGAGTGCTTGCCAGCCCCAGCTGCCTTCTCAGATCAGCTGAGGTTATATACAGGCCTTGCCTAGGGCAGGAGCCAGCAGAAAGCGACAGGCAGCGCAACCAAGCCCTGGGTGACCCTGGCAGCAGGCTCCGGGCAGCGATGGGGAGGCCAGAGGGGCTCCGGTCCCAGGC